TTAGTAGAAGTAATTGAAAAAATCATTTTATGATTAATGAACGTCCATTAAATTTATATGGACTAGGTTCTATGGCTGTAGTACCTTTAATTAGATCTTTTATAACTAGTACATTTAGACATTCGGAAAATAATCCTGAGTCTTTAGCTCTAGAGCATATTAATAGTGGGATGCCTATCACTCACTCAGTTATTAATAAAATATTATTAAATCAAGATTTATCTATTACTAATAATAAATTGGAAGAATTATTAAAAGTTAAAGGTGTAGAAATTGATCTTCCTGTGGTGACGCCGGAAGATAAGAAACTTTTAGCGAAATTGACTGGTATATCCAAATATAAAGGGTTCTTTGGTGTATATTTATTTATACATAAAAATACAGGTCAAAAGTATGTAGGTTCATCTAATTTACTAAGACGTAGAATGAATTACTATTTTAAAGGTGATTTTCCTTTAGCTGGAAAATTTTTACCTCTTCTTCATAAAGAAGGGTTAGGAGCTTTTAAATTAGTAATATTTAAATTAGATGGTAATAAATTTAATAGTAAAGATACTCTATTATTAGAACAATACTTTTTATTAAGTAAAGAATTTAACTTGAATACTTTAAGAGTTGTTAATGCAGGACCTTCTAAAGGTAAAGGTGTATATGTTTATGATATAACTTGTAGTACTCTTTATTATCATGCTAAATCTCAAATTGATTTAAAAAGAGTTTTAAAAATACACACGCAAACTTGTAGAAAATATATAGATTCTAAAATTCCTTATCTTAATAAATTCTTATTATTAAGCCATCCTATTCCTACAGCTTTAAGTAGCAATATTACCGTTGAAGAGTTAGTAAATATAATGCAAAAAGAAAGACAAGCTATGTATGCATTAGGTACTCGACGTAATATTCCTGTCACATTAGAAATTCTGGAAGGAAATACTTTTGTAGATTCTTCTATTATTGGTCATACTTTAAATTTTTATTCTTTAACATCTTGTATAGAATATCTAAGAAAATTTGGTTTAACCATTAAGAGAGATACTCTTACTAAATATATAAAAAATGAGAAAGTGTTTCATTATTTCTTGTGTAAGTACTCAGATAAACTTATACCTATTGATTTTGAAGAAGTAGGGTTAATAATTGATGAATATACAAAATTAAAAGTAAATTCAGACTCTTTGATGGTTAATAAGAAAAATAAACCTATATTAGTTAAAGGGGAAAATTTTGAAAAGAGATTCGAAAGTATTATGGATTCAATTAGATACTTTGAGACTCCTTTTCTCACATCGAACGGTAGTGATTTTTTTTTTTTTATTATTTTGTGAGGTGTATCTTTATGGGTTTTATAAAGACTTGGTACTCATAGTTAATATATTTTATTGTTGCATTAGTAGTTTTGAAGGTAAACACAATGAATACCATTCATTATATTTGATCTTTTAAACATATTTTACATGTTTAGAGTAAATTAATCTATAATTACATAAATTTTATTTATTACACTAAAAATAATTGTAGAGTACAATTGCAATGTTCCGAGGTGTGCGGTATTTTACATAGCTCTATGCCTATCGTTATCCAATCTGTATCGATTGAAAAGTTTTTGACATGATTGGAAAATCAGTAATGACTCAATTTGTATTTAATTTATTTATCCTTTCTCCTGCGCGTTTCTGTTTCTCTCGTGGTTCTTTTGGTTTTCTTAGCAATAGGGTTTACACAACAGTAAACCTAACCCCTTTAAATAAAGATAATCAGATTAAACAATCTATATCTAATCGTCCTGAAAATTTAGCTCTAGATCACATTAATAGTGGTAACACAACTACTGCTACAGTAATAAATAATATACTCTCTAACCAAAAAGTTGCAATTACTGAAAAAAAATTAGAAGAATTATTAGGCGTTAAAGGTATAGAATTTGACCTACCAATTACAAAAGACACGCAAGCGTCATTTACTGCGGTAATAGGAAAATCTGTACATAGTGGTGGTTTCGCTGGGGTATACGTTTTTACACACATAGCTTCAAATTTTAAGTACGTGGGTTCCTCTAATCTTCTGGTTCGACGTATGGCTTATTGTTTTAAGGATAATTTGCCTCAAGTTGGGTTATTATTACCTTTTATTACTAGGTATGGTCTTAGTGCATTTAAACTTAACAAAATTTATAAATTAGATAAACATCGATTTAAAGATATTGATTGTTTGTTCTTAGAACAATATCATTTACTGGATAAAAAATATAACTTAAATACATTAAGAGTTGTAAATTTTGATCCGCAATTAGGAAAATCCGTCTACATTTATGATATTACTGCAATAATTCTTTATTATCACGCTCAATCCACAATTAGTTTAAAAAGACATTTAGGTATACATCCGTCTAGTTGTCCCAAATATGTAGACACCAAAATCCCTTTCCCTGGGCTTTTTATTCTATTAAGTTTCCCCATTATTACTGCAAACCTTATTAACTTATCAGAGACTGAGTTTTTAGATTGATTAAATAAAGAGCGTCAAGCTTTTTATGCTTCAGGAAGTCGAAGAAGTAAATCTATTATTCTTCAACCTCAGGATCAAACTTCTCAGGATAATGTACTAGAATTTCCCTCTTTAGTTTCTTGCGTACTTTATTTTATAATTAATTTAGGCATAATTATTAAAAGAGATACCCTTTCTAACTATATTAAAAAAGGAAAACCTTTTCATGGTTATTTATGAAAATTTGATGATAAAAACTTATTGGATAATTCAGTTTCTCTTAAATTAGATAGATTAATAGAAGAAAACAGAAAGAAAATCCTAGAACTTTCTATTAAAAAACCTAATAAATCCCTGTCCGATAACAGTTCAAAAATCTTGTTTTTCGATAGTAGTATGGATACAGAAAGATATTATCAAACTCAAGATATTAAATTCGGATTGCTATATAAAGGATTTATATGAGCGGTTACCTCCTTGTACTTTTTCAGAAATTTGCGGTATACTTCATTCTTCTATGCCTATAGTTATACAATCCGTTTCTATCTAAAAGTTTTGGACATGATTGGAGGAACAATAAGCTATCAACTTTTTATATTACTTACTACTTTTCGTATTTGCTCGCCTTTGCGTTTCTCTTGCTTTTACTTTTGCTTACAAAATGGTTTACCAAATGGTAAACCTAACCCCAAAAACCCAGATGTGGCTTGCCCATTTTTCTTTTTTGTTTGCCCTTGGGTACTGAAACAAAAAGTTATTAGTAAAAAAATAATACTCTCTGACTTAGAAGTATTAGCTTTATATAACTTACATTCCAAGTGCAAGTACATACAACTTTCGGCAGGCATATATTGTTTTATTGGTATTCCTCCCATCGAGGGGTATGTTTATATTTTATTTTCAGTGGCGTTTGGTTTAGTAATATGTGGTATAATGTGGAATCTATATGAGTTATATAATAATTCACAACAACGACCTATAAATGTAGATTTTGAGATGTCAGGTTCAACATCACTTAAATTATGAAAAATTTCCAGGGTTGACCCAATGCTAGGGTTAAGGCTTTTTATGATTACTTAGATCCTACAGGTGGAAGTTTATGTAAACTATATCCAAATATTATAGGAGAATGATTTATAATTTATGTTAATGGTTATCCTTATGTTGCTGTCGTTCCTTACATTTTTGACTATGGTTTTTTCCCAGCAGGGCATTATTGGTTCAATAGAATTTTTCGTGACGTCAATATTTGGTGACAAGACGGTTCAAAAAGTTCTGGTACTTGGCTATCGAAACCTTTAAATAAAGATAAGCGATTTATCTTGTTATCTAATTCCCGACCTGTAATACATTCTCGTGATAATATGTTGATATTTATATATGAGTGTTAAATGTTTCTTTTTTTTTTGGTATTGTTATCATTTTTTTTTTTCCGGTAATCGGTCTTCAATTTATTGCCCTATATCCACCTTTGCCCTCGGTATTATTCTAATCAGAAATTTATCGTCATCCAATCTGTATTAATTGATAAATTCTTAATTTTATTGGAGGAACAGTTATGTCCCAATTCCAATTTAAATTTTGTATGTTCCTTACTTCTTTGCGTCTTTTTTCTCGCTTTTACTTTTTCTTACAAAAATGGTTTATTTAATAATAAACCTAACCCTTATGGAGTCTTTAAAAGTTCTATTTCGGTATTTTAAGATTTCTTACCTTGATTAGAATACCCCATAGGGTCTTCCTTAATTGGAAACAATCCTTCGGATTTTATTTATATAGGACTTTATTAATTGGGGTTAGGATCAATAAAGGGAGCCTACAGAAAATCCTACCGGATCTTAAGATTAAAAATAACTTAAGAATTTCTATGTAAATTCTAGAAATTTAATTTAAATTTCTCATTATTTTTGACTTAATTAATTCCTTTTAAGATCTGGTGCAAGGGAGGGAAGAATCTAAGGATTCTTAAGATTTTATTCCAAGGGAAAATCCGATAGATTTTCTAAATATTTTATCTAGATTAATATTTATTTTAAGAATAATTATTTGGGAATTGAGGGAGAGAGAAAAGCATCCTATGAATTATTTTATTTATTTCTTATCTATTAAGTGGGCTCAGGCTTAATAAACATTGTCTAGATTAAATTTTTAATAATTTTTAGATATTTTAAGAGCTTTGTCATTAATTTAAACCTAATTATAAATCCGAGGGAAGGACCCAAGGGTCCCAATTTTATAAACATATTTAGCATTTAGAATAATTTTTGATCAAATTTATTTATTTTAGAGAAGAATAACTTTTTAATAAATAAGAATAAATCCGAGGAAATGGACCCAATGCTTGTGGTCCAAATTATTTTAAGAATAATTTAAGATTTTTATTTATTTAATAAATCTATGGATTTTTTTTTTTTTTTTTTTACTTATTTGATCTTTTTATCTTTATTTAGTATTTTGTTCCCATCCTACCCAAAGAGTGGATGGGCCCAAGTTTGGAACAAACTTTTAAATAATTTTATAAATTTTCTTTTTTTATTAAGGACTTTTTTAGATTAAGATTGATTTTAATTATTATTTAAGATAGATTTAGCATTAATAAGAATTAGTTAGACAAAGATTTATTTTACTTAATTCCGGAGGAGTATGGAGGACCCCGTACAGGGCCCAAGTTTCAAGGAAACTTTCATTAATTTTTTCTTATTTAATATACAAAACTAGCATTAATTAGGCACTAAATTCCTATGGAAATGGAATTTTCCTAGAATTCTATGAATTCTTTATTATCTTAATATTTACTAGATTATTCTTAATTAAGCTATAAATTCATTACAAGATTAATTAATTAAAACATTTCCAAAGGTCCCAAGGGGTCCAAGTTTAAAAGTTTATTCCTTAATTTCTTTCTCTTTTAACATTTTAAAAATTATATGGAATTCTTTTTCTTTAATATTTAATTATTTTTCCTTAATTATTCAGTTAACTCCTTACAAGATTAATAATTCTAAGGCACCGTGAAGGACCCGTAGGGTCCCATATTATTTATTCTTTTTCTTTTTTCTTTACAATTCTATCGAATTGTACCTATAAAGGCCCTGATTTTTCTGAATATATTATTTATTGCTCTTTTAAATCTATGAGTGGTTCCTTACTATCATATTCTAAATTTTAGGTAGAAAATTCTACGAATTTTTAGGGAAAGCATATTTTAAAAAGTAGATAATTTTCGAATATCCAAGGTTTTGCCTATAATTACTCAAAGGTTTAATAAATACTATTATTTTAAAGAATAATTCTATGAATTATTAAGAAATTTTGACAATAATTATTTTTATTAGTTATAAATTACAGATTTTTTAAAATAACAAAGGCGTGTCGGGAATAATCCTACGGATTCTAATGAATATTTATTAATATTTTATATCTATAATCTTTATTTTAGGCATTTATTAATATTTAATTTAACAATTCTATGGAATTGTAGGAAGAATTCTATGAATTCTTTAATTATTTATTTATCTATGCACTCTTTATCCCTAATTTAAGCAATAAATTCAAATTTAAACCCGGACTATATAATTTTTAAATTTGTTTTTGTAATAAGCTTAAATATTTATTTAGGTAAAATATTATTAAAATTTAAATATATTTCTATAAGTAAATATATTTAAAAATGTTAAAATGGAGATACCTTAAATTAGGTTAGAGCATAAAATGGATCTAGCTGATTGACAAAGGCAATTTAATAATTAATAAAGTAAAGAGGTAATACTACATAGGCTTATTTGGAGTTTGTGGAGGCGCTTATTTATATTTATACTTAAAATCTTAAGAAAATTTAAAGATTGTAGGTTTAAAAAACTCAGATGAGGCTTGGTATTCGGCTAAGGAAAAATGTGAGTTTCTAATAAGTCATAACATTAGGTAAAGTTGAAAGAGCTCATTATAAATTTGAGTGAAGCAATAGGAACAGTGGTTGTAGTATCTTAAACCGATACTGGAAAACGTTCTAATATTTATCCTAGTCTCAGGCGGTATCTAATAATAAAACAAATTAGTAAGGGGGGCGCCTAAAGTAAGCGCCTTCCAAAAATCTGATATAATATTCTATATACGGATTAGAGCCAGGGTGGTTGAGGCGTCTCGTTTGGGACGGGATTTTTTTGGGTTCAAATCCTGATAATCCGAAATATAGTATTATAAAAACTTTCGTACACGGTACAAAGGGATTCTTCTTTAATTATGATTCAATTCCATACGATAGTTATGCTTTTTGTTGACGTGGGCATTTGAAGCTTATAATTATTTAGATTCTTAAATCGAGTAGTGCCCTTACGATGTTATAGGGGCTACTTTTAGGCTAGGCAAGCCAAGCTTCGCATCCTCCAGCCTAATTACGGGGCGCTTATTTAAGCGTCCCTATTATATTATTAGTCCTATTAATAGATACTATTATGATTTATTGCACTTATTTTTAATGTATAGTTTTGATATATTTAAAATGGAAGTTATATTATTATCATTAACTGCATATTACCCTAGACGTTTACAAGAACCAATAGGAATAACTATAAATAAAAGTCTTCTTTCTTTTTAACTAACTATACAGATAGTATTTTATCAATGTCAAACAATTTTTTATTTTACTAATAATTATAAACCTGAAAGGAGGGATTTTATTAAAATGCGTCGGATACCTAAGAGAAAAATATTGGTTCTTAAGTAGATTTTTTGGATATTTTAGTAAGGCTCTAGGGTTATATGATTATTAATATTTTAAATTATAAATCTTAGAATATTGCGATCCTTCTGAAACATTAAAAAGAGTGCTCTTATCCCCTTTTAGCTTTTGCTCACTCCTCCCTCCCTTATCTTCTTTTGTATGTCCGGAGGACAATAAGCATGCTGCAGCGAACCCATCTTAGATGGGGGGGGGAGAGGAAAAACTTACAATCATTTGATTGTAATTCTATATCCCCTTATTTTATGCTAAAATTCCTTCACTCCTAGCTCCGCTAGAACTAAAATTATAAAAATTTACAAAACTCTAACTGTGATTAAAAGGAAAATTATCTATCCAAATATTTATTTCGGCGGGCACTCTTATTTAAGCGCCCCATCTATACTTTCCTTTATACAAAGTAAATATTAGTATAGAGAGTCTAGCGTTGCGGTGGCGGTTATGCCCACCCAAAGGGGCCGCACGTACGGCCTCACTACGCTACAATGGCACCCCCTCTCTTTTGTAGGTGGATACAGGAGCAATTAGAGCTACGGTTTTTGTTCAAATATGTAATATTAATTATAATTGTTTAAATATATTAAGAGTTTTCTATAAGTAATGTTAAACGATATGGAATGTATTATCTACCAGATTATTATTAATTCCTTTTAGGTGGGAGGGTTAAATTATCTTGGAAAGTATATAAAGAAATTATTATGGATTATAAGCAATATATCACAAGAGAGAACAACTATTTATTTAATTTGTGTTTAGTAATACACATGAACTCTTAGAGAAATTAAGTAAAAAACGAAGTGAAAAGAAGGCTCTTAGTAACTTTAGGAAAATAAATCAAAGGAGATTCTATTATTAGTGTGAATGAAAATAGAAAAGCCTATAAATAAATAAGTAAAATGGATATTAATCTGTTTGAATTATAAAGGGGAACCTTCCTCTAAGGCTAAATATGATATATTAGCGATAGTGAATAGTACCGAGAGGGAATAATATGAAATAGTAATTTTATAAGCAGCTCGAAAACAAATTTAAATAAATAATAAGAGCGTACCTTTTGCATAATGGGTTAGCAAGTTAATATTAGATGTAAGCAGTATTGCCCAGATAAAACGATTATAATATATATGACAAAATATCTAAAATTAGACCCGAAACCTAGTGATCTTACCATAATCAGAATTATAAAAGTTCGAACGGGTTATCGTTGTAAAGATATCCGATGAATTGTGGTAAGTTGGTGAAAGACAAAACTGACTAGGATAGCTGGTGGAAAAAAGAAATGAGAAATCTTTTTTGGCCAGAATGTAGGAGAGAACCTTCTGCTCAAAATCATCAAAATGCGGGAAACCCCTAAAGTAATTTCAACCAAGCAATAGCGGTGACGGATATTGTGGCATAGGTAATGACTCATGGTATGGTAAAATCGAAATTAATGTACGAAAGGAAATGGGCAATCCGCAGCCAAGCACAAACTTAGTTTAGTGTGCAGTTCATCGACTAAAAGTTGATTAGCGCAAGCTTAAGATATAGTCAAACCTCACCTGAAAGGGTGCAGGGGAATAGAATTGTTTAGAAAAGTTATGTTTCTTGTGCTTTGCATAGGATTAAAACTTATTCTCTAATCTTTGAATGGGAATCCAGTGCGTATTCTATTTTCCCGTTAAATGGATAGTTAAATGTTATTATTATAAGACTTCAAATTTATAATTACGGTTTTACCGTATTATTCTACATTAAAAAAAATGATAGGCGGATATTTTTTTGATTCCTTCTATTATTTAACTTGGTTCATTTTCACATTCTTTTGGTGCGAAGTAATTTATTGGTATTGGTAAGTGGTAATGTTTCTATCGTAATCTACGATAATATTTCGTTATGCCCTAGTTGACGCGTGAGAAATACTAGACCAGGTTATGGTTGTAGCTCAATACCGTGATTATAAGGGGGTAGTGGGACTAAGGTTCTTCTTGCATTAAATGATAAAGAGATCATGGGTAAAGAACAAGTAGAATTAAGTCCAATGTAATGGGCTAAGCCCTGTGACAGAAGCCATGCTTAGGGGACTAGACCTCCTCTTTCACGGTCCTACCTGTAATCTAGCCTAGTGTATAACTGAATATTATTAAAGTCTGCGATATCCTGTCCTCTGTGCTTTATATTGATTAAGTTAAAAATAAAACAAAAATAATTATGTTAAAAATCAAAGGTCTTCTGTCACAGGGTATTGTCTTCTTTACTTTTGTAGTTATTTTAGTGTACATTTGAAATTACTACACTTTCAATTCCCTTGATTTAACTATATTCCTTTCATTAAATCTGAATCAACAAAGATCTTATTCAAAATCGGGAAATTTAGTTACTCCTTTATACAGATATTTAAATGCTAAGCTTGATAAGGTTCAGATTTTTAAGGATAGTAAGGGAAATTCAGGTATCTATCGTTGGATTAATAAGGAAAATAATAAGGAATACATTGGAGAAGCTAATGATTTAAGAGCACGATTTTATGTTTATTATAGTAAAAAGCGCTTAAATAGTTCAAAAATGGTAATTTATAATGCAATCAAAAAATATGGACATGAAAAGTTTATTTTAGAAATTTTGGAGTTTTGTCCACCTTCTGAATTATTAGAAAGAGAAAATTATTATATTCAAAATTTAAAACCAGAATATAATATTCTACTAGAAGCTACATCATCCCTTGGTTATAAACACTCAGAACAGGCTCTAGCCAAGATGAGTGCTAAAAGAACAAATTTATCAGAGGAAGGACGTAAAAATCTCTCTAAAGCAGCTACGGGTCGTGTGTTGTCAGATGAAACAAAAGCCAAAATTTCTGAGGCTAAAAATAATATTTTAGTTTCAATTCCAGTAAAATTCTATTCTAATGTTGAGGCTGATAAAGCTAAAATTCTGAAAGAAAACAGAGTAAAATCAGGCGTTTATATGTTTACCAATTTAACTAACGGTAAAAAATATATAGGTTCTTCTATAGATTTACGAAATAGATTCTATAAATACTATTCTATTAAATATTTAGAATCTGATAATTGTATGCCTATCTGTAGAGCTTTGCTTAAATATGGTTATCATAAATTTTCTTTAGAGATTCTTGAATACTGTAAAGAAAAAGATACTCTAATAAGAGAGAAGTACTATTTTGGTTTATTCTCACACAAAATACAATATCTCCTTGGATCCTACTGCTCCATTTTTAGACCGTACACATTCAGATGAAACTCGTAAACAAATGTCTGATACTCATACAGGCCATAAACATTCAGATGAAACTCGTAAAATAATGTCTAATATTGCTAAGACGCTACCCAATTCACCTACTCTGTCTCCCGTCCAG